TACCACACTGAGCACTCTGGTGCATACATTACCACACAGAGCACTCTGGTGCATACATTACCACACAGTACACTCTGGTGCATACATTACCACACAGTACACTCTGGTGCATACATTACCACACAGTACACTCTGGTGCATACATTACCACACAGAGCACTCTGGTGCATACATTACCACACAGTACACTCTGGTGCATACATTACCACACAGTACACTCTGGTGCATACATTACCACATACCACATGTGTTGCAGTGCTGCATATTCTGATGCATAATATTGTTGTATTTAACTATGATGAATTAACCTATAGAACATTATTGAAATATATATCCATACATCGTTGTATATCATTGCCCGATAGTTTATTACTGCCATGATCTTTATTTCTCATTATTGATGTAGAGATGACTCCTCTGTGTCGCACTGTGCTCCTCTATAACACACTCTGTGTTACACTGTGCTCCTCTATAACACACTCTGTGTCACACTGTGCTCCTCTATAACACACTCTGTGTCATACTGTGCTCCTCTATAACACACTCTGTGTCATACTGTGCTCCTCTATAACACACTCTGTGTCATACTGTGCTCCTCTATAACACACTCTGTGTCATACTGTGCTCCTCTATAACACACTCTGTGTTACACTGTGCTCCTCTATAACACACTCTGTGTTACACTGTGCTCCTCTATAACACACTCTGTGTCACACTGTGCTCCTCTATAACACACTCTGTGTCACACTGTGCTCCTCTATAACACACTCTGTGTCACACTGTGCTCCTCTATAACACACTCTGTGTCACACTGTGCTCCTCTATAACACACTCTGTGTCACACTGTGCTCCTCTATAACACACTCTGTGTCACACTGTGCTCCTCTATAACACACTCTGTGTCGCACTGTGCTCCTCTATAACACACTCTGTGTCACACTGTGCTCCTCTATAACACACTCTGTGTCACACTGTGCTCCTCTATAACACACTCTGTGTCATACTGTGCTCCTCTATAACACACTCTGTGTTACACTGTGCTCCTCTATAACACACTCTGTGTTACACTGTGCTCCTCTATAACACACGGTTGTAACAGACTAGGCTGTTGTAAGAATTATCCAGAGTGGTTTATCGACAAAAGAGAATGGGAAGCTGAGCCGCATGGTGACCTGACCCCCAGGGGAATTCGCGGTGGAAATAACCGACGCTTTGTTCATATCTGCGTATAATGAATCATCCTATAGTATTCAGGAATTTAGAGAAAATTAGCCTTTATTCATTTTGCATTAAAATTGTATTGTATAATAGTACTGGGTACAATATCAAGAGTATTCTAATTATTGAGTTTAAGTCACCATCAGTGACGTCACGAATCAGATCTAACTTTTAAAGCGGAGTGACCGGCGGTCATAGGTCATCAGGGGTTGACATGTCTAATATTTCTCAAAGTTTTAATAACCATTTTTGTGATCGGGAACAGCTTTGCCGTTAGATGTTTGTGTAATCTAATTAAAGTAAAATAATTCAACCAGTCTGGATCAATTCAGTATAAACAGAGGTTAATTGTTATAACTTAAACCTTGCTAGTAACTGGGTAGAACTTTGACTAGGCGGAAGGATACAATGTTCTGTCTGGGGGAGACCAGACAAGGAAGAAATCAGTGTGAATACGGGAGCAGCTGGGAGAGGTCAAACATCTTACCTCTCCCCTAGACCAGCCAAGACCAGCTGGTCGCCCAAGGTATAGTTGCTATTGTTAAGTATAGAAATAATCTCATTTGCCACTCAGGTCAAGTAGGGAGTGTTAAAGTGATAGGGAGTGAACATATTTAGATTTTGTTTTAGTTTTCTTTTAATAAATTAAATTTGTTATTAATTTGCATTTTATTGTTTCCATTTGGTTATGTGTAAACTTGTCCTGGTCACGTGGTCCACACGAGGCAGAGTTGTATTGGGCGCCGATTCTAACATCGAATCGGAATTATCATTACCGTGTAATTTATTCCACACTCAAGGTCATCGTTTATAGTGGGGATCAAGCCCCTAGGTTGATTAATTAGCGTGATCGATCCAGACCTCGATCATTGCTCTTGTATTACTGGTCTGGTGGTGGCAGCAGAGGTGACTCTAGGGTTTTGTTCAGAGCTTAGGTCACGTCATACTGGGTGTAGAATCCTAAGTCGGTCAATCGTCTTAGGACCACGTGGCGTGGAGTTGGCTTTGGTAAAAGTTTTGGAGTCCCTTGGTTTAGAAATAAAAGTAAGAATACGGGTAGAGGGAGTAGAAAGAAGGAAGTAAAGAGAGAGGAACCCGAACCCGTGTTACAATTTATTGTAACACGGGTTCGGGTTCCTCTCTCTTTACTTCCTTCTTTCTACTCCCTCTACCCGTATTCTTACTTTTATTTCTAAACCAAGGGACTCCAAAACTTTTACCAAAGCCAACTCCACGCCACGTGGTCCTAAGACGATTGACCGACTTAGGATTCTACACCCAGTATGACGTGACCTAAGCTCTGAACAAAACCCTAGAGTCACCTCTGCTGCCACCACCAGACCAGTAATACAAGAGCAATGATCGAGGTCTGGATCGATCACGCTAATTAATCAACCTAGGGGCTTGATCCCCACTATAAACGATGACCTTGAGTGTGGAATAAATTACACGGTAATGATAATTCCGATTCGATGTTAGAATCGGCGCCCAATACAACTCTGCCTCGTGTGGACCACGTGACCAGGACAAGTTTACACATAACCAAATGGAAACAATAAAATGCAAATTAATAACAAATTTAATTTATTAAAAGAAAACTAAAACAAAATCTAAATATGTTCACTCCCTATCACTTTAACACTCCCTACTTGACCTGAGTGGCAAATGAGATTATTTCTATACTTAACAATAGCAACTATACCTTGGGCGACCAGCTGGTCTTGGCTGGTCTAGGGGAGAGGTAAGATGTTTGACCTCTCCCAGCTGCTCCCGTATTCACACTGATTTCTTCCTTGTCTGGTCTCCCCCAGACAGAACATTGTATCCTTCCGCCTAGTCAAAGTTCTACCCAGTTACTAGCAAGGTTTAAGTTATAACAATTAACCTCTGTTTATACTGAATTGATCCAGACTGGTTGAATTATTTTACTTTAATTAGATTACACAAACATCTAACGGCAAAGCTGTTCCCGATCACAAAAATGGTTATTAAAACTTTGAGAAATATTAGACATGTCAACCCCTGATGACCTATGACCGCCGGTCACTCCGCTTTAAAAGTTAGATCTGATTCGTGACGTCACTGATGGTGACTTAAACTCAATAATTAGAATACTCTTGATATTGTACCCAGTACTATTATACAATACAATTTTAATGCAAAATGAATAAAGGCTAATTTTCTCTAAATTCCTGAATACTATAGGATGATTCATTATACGCAGATATGAACAAAGCGTCGGTTATTTCCACCGCGAATTCCCCTGGGGGTCAGGTCACCATGCGGCTCAGCTTCCCATTCTCTTTTGTCGATAAACCACTCTGGATAATTCTTACAACAGCCTAGTCTGTTACACTGTGTTACACTGTGCTCCTCTATAACACACTCTGTGTCACACTGTGCTCCTCTATAACACACTCTGTGTCACACTGTGCTCCTCTATAACACACTCTGTGTCACACTGTGCTCCTCTATAACACACTCTGTGTCACACTGTGCTCCTCTATAACACACTCTGTGTTACACTGTGCTCCTCTATAACACACTCTGTGTTACACTGTGCTCCTCTATAACACACTCTGTGTCACACTGTGCTCCTCTATAACACACTCTGTGTTACACTGTGCTCCTCTATAACACACTCTGTGTTACACTGTGCTCCTCTATAACACACTCTGTGTTACACTGTGCTCCTCTATAACACACTCTGTGTCATACTGTGCTCCTCTATAACACACTCTGTGTCACACTGTGCTCCTCTATAACACACTCTGTGTCACACTGTGCTCCTCTATAACACACTCTGTGTCACACTGTGCTCCTCTATAACACACTCTGTGTCACACTGTGCTCCTCTATAACACACTCTGTGTCACACTGTGCTCCTCTATAACACACTCTGTGTCACACTGTGCTCCTCTATAACACACTCTGTGTTACACTGTGCTCCTCTATAACACACTCTGTGTTACACTGTGCTCCTCTATAACACACTCTGTGTTACACTGTGCTCCTCTATAACACACTCTGTGTCACACTGTGCTCCTCTATAACACACTCTGTGTTACACTGTGCTCCTCTATAACACACTCTGTGTTACACTGTGCTCCTCTATAACACACTCTGTGTTACACTGTGCTCCTCTATAACACACTCTGTGTCATACTGTGCTCCTCTATAACACACTCTGTGTCACACTGTGCTCCTCTATAACACACTCTGTGTCACACTGTGCTCCTCTATAACACACTCTGTGTCACACTGTGCTCCTCTATAACACACTCTGTGTCACACTGTGCTCCTCTATAACACACTCTGTGTCACACTGTGCTCCTCTATAACACACTCTGTGTCACACTGTGCTCCTCTATAACACACTCTGTGTTACACTGTGCTCCTCTATAACACACTCTGTGTTACACTGTGCTCCTCTATAACACACTCTGTGTTACACTGTGCTCCTCTATAACACACTCTGTGTCATACTGTGCTCCTCTATAACACACTCTGTGTCATACTGTGCTCCTCTATAACACACTCTGTGTCATACTGTGCTCCTCTATAACACACTCTGTGTCATACTGTGCTCCTCTATAACACACTCTGTGTCATACTGTGCTCCTCTATAACACACTCTGTGTTACACTGTGCTCCTCTATAACACACTCTGTGTCACACTGTGCTCCTCTATAACACACTCTGTGTTACACTGTGCTCCTCTATAACACATTATACATAACTCTCCTTCACTGTACTTGTCTATATAAATATTCCTCTTACAGCTGCCAGATGATATGCCTGAAGGTGAGCTGCTTCCAGTTATGTTCTGGATACACGGTGGAGCCTTCACTACCGGGGACGCCAGCCTCTACGTCCCCACCAAGCTGATGGACCGGGACGTGGTGGTGGTAGTGGTCCAGTACCGTCTGGCAACACTGGGTGAGTGTGGTGGTGGTGGTGGTGGTCCAGTACCGTCTGGCAACACTGGGTGAGTGTGGTGGTGGTGGTGGTGGTCCAGTACCGTCTGGCAACACTGGGTGAGTGTGGTGGTGGTGGTGGTGGTCCAGTACCGTCTGGCAACACTGGGTGAGTGTGGTGGTGGTGGTCCAGTACCGTCTGGCAACACTGGGTGAGTGTTGTGGTGGTGGTCCAGTACCATCTGGCAACACTGGGTGAGTGTGGTGGTGGTGGTGGTCCAGTACCGTCTGGCAACACTGGGTGAGTGTGGTGGTGGTGGTGGTGGTCCAGTACTGTCTGGCAACACTGGGTGAGTGTTGTGGTGGTGGTGGTGGTCCAGTACCGTCTGGCAACACTGGGTGAGTGTGGTGGTGGTGGTGGTCCAGTACCGTCTGGCAACACTGGGTGAGTGTGGTGGTGGTGGTGGTCCAGTACCGTCTGGCAACACTGGGTGAGTGTGGTGGTGGTGGTCCAGTACTGTCTGGCAACACTGGGTGAGTGTGGTGGTGGTGGTGGTGGTCCAGTACCGTCTGGCAACACTGGGTGAGTGTGGTGGTAGTGGTCCAGTACTGTCTGGCAACACTGGGTGAGTGTGGTGGTGGTGGTGGTCCAGTACCGTCTGGCAACACTGGGTGAGCGTGGTGGTGGTGGTCCAGTACTGTCTGGCAACACTGGGTGAGTGTGGTGGTGGTGGTGGTGGTGGTGGTGGTCCAGTACCGTTTGGCAACACTGGTTGAGTGTGGTGGTAGTGGTCCAGTACTGTCTGGCAACACTGGGTGAGTGTGGTCGTGGTGGTGGTCCAGTACTGTCTGGCAACACTTGGTGAGTGTGGTGGTGGTGGTGGTGGTCCAGTACCGTCTGGCAACACTGGGTGAGTGTGGTGGTGGTGGTGGTGGTCCAGTACCGTCTGGCAACACTGGGTGAGCGTGGTGGTGGTGGTCCAGTACTGTCTGGCAACACTGGGTGAGTGTGGTGGTGGTGGTGGTGGTGGTGGTGGTCCAGTACCGTCTGGCAACACTGGGTGAGTGTGGTGGTGGTGGTGGTGGTCCAGTACCGTCTGGCAACACTGGGTGAGTGTGCTGGTGGTGGTGGTGGTCCAGTACCGTCTGGCAACACTGGGTGAGTGTGGTGGTGGTGGTCCAGTACTGTCTGGCAACACTGGGTGAGTGTGGTGGTGGTGGTGGTGGTGGTCCAGTACTGTCTGGCAACATTGGGTGAGTGTGCTGGTGGTGGTGGTGGTCCAGTACCGTCTGGCAACACTGGGTGAGTGTGGTGGTGGTGGTGGTCCAGTACTGTCTGGCAACACTGGGTGAGTGTGGTGGTGGTGGTGGTGGTGGTCCAGTACTGTCTGGCAACACTGGGTGAGTGTGGTGGTGGTGGTGGTGGTGGTCCAGTACCGTCTGGCAACACTGGGTGAGTGTGGTGGTGGTGGTGGTGGTCCAGTACCGTCTGGCAACACTGGGTGAGTGTGGTGGTGGTGGTGGTGGTCCAGTACCGTCTGGCAACACTGGGTGAGTGTGGTGGTGGTGGTCCAGTACTGTCTGGCAACACTGGGTGAGTGTGGTGGTGGTGGTGGTGGTGGTCCAGTACCGTCTGGCAACACTGGGTGAGTGTGGTGGTGGTGGTCCAGTACCGTATGGCAGCACTGGGTGAGTGTGGTGGTGGTGGTGGTCCAGTACTGTCTGGCAACACTTGGTGAGTGTGGTGGTGGTGGTGGTCCAGTACTGTCTGGCAACACTGGGTGAGTGTGATGGTGGTGGTGGTGGTGGTCCAGTACCGTCTGGCAACACTGGGTGAGTGTGGTGGTGGTGGTCCAGTACCGTCTGGCAACACTGGGTGAGTGTGGTGGTGGTGGTGGTGGTGGTCCAGTACTGTCTGGCAACACTTGGTGAGTGTGGTGGTGGTGGTGGTGGTGGTCCAGTACCGTCTGGCAACACTGGGTGAGTGTGGTGGTGGTGGTGGTCCAGTACTGTCTGGCAACACTGGGTGAGTGTGGTGGTGGTGGTGGTGGTCCAGTACCGTCTGGCAGCACTGGGTGAGTGTGGTGGTGGTGGTGGTGGTCCAGTACCGTCTGGCAGCACTGGGTGAGTGTGGTGGTGGTGGTGGTGGTCCAGTACCGTCTGGCAACACTGGGTGAGTGTGGTGGTGGTGGTGGTGGTGGTGGTCCAGTACCGTCTGGCAGCACTGGGTGAGTGTGGTGGTGGTGGTGGTCCAGTACTGTCTGGCAACACTTGGTGAGTGTGGTGGTGGTGGTGGTCCAGTACTGTCTGGCAACACTGGGTGAGTGTGGTGGTGGTGGTGGTCCAGTACCGTCTGGCAACACTGGGTGAGTGTGGTGGTGGTGGTGGTGGTCCAGTACCGTCTGGCAACACTGGGTGAGTGTGGTGGTGGTGGTGGTGGTGGTCCAGTACTGTCTGGCAACACTTGGTGAGTGTGGTGGTGGTGGTGGTGGTGGTCCAGTACCGTCTGGCAACACTGGGTGAGTGTGGTGGTGGTGGTGGTCCAGTACTGTCTGGCAACACTGGGTGAGTGTGGTGGTGGTGGTGGTGGTCCAGTACTGTCTGGCAACACTGGGTGAGTGTGGTGGTGGTGGTGGTGGTCCAGTACTGTCTGGCAACACTGGGTGAGTGTGGTGGTGGTGGTGGTGGTCCAGTACCGTCTGGCAACACTGGGTGAGTGTGGTGGTGGTCCAGTACCGTCTGGCAACACTGGGTGAGTGTGGTGGTGGTGGTGGTGGTCCAGTACTGTCTGGCAACACTGGGTGAGTGTGGTGGTGGTGGTGGTGGTCCAGTACCGTCTGGCAACACTGGGTGAGTGTGGTGGTGGTCCAGTACTGTCTGGCAACACTGGGTGAGTGTGGTGGTGGTGGTGGTGGTCCAGTACCGTCTGGCAACACTGGGTGAGTGTGGTGGTGGTGGTGTTGGTCCAGTACCGTCTGGCAACACTGGGTGAGTGTGGTGGTGGTGGTGGTCCAGTTCCGTCTGGCAACACTGGGTGAGTGTGGTGGTGGTGGTGGTGGTGGTGGTGGTCCAGTACTGTCTGGCAACACTGGGTGAGTGTGGTGGTGGTGGTGGTGGTCCAGTACCGTCTGGCAACACTGGGTGAGTGTGGTGGTGGTGGTGGTGGTCCAGTACCGTCTGGCAACACTGGGTGAGTGTGGTGGTGGTGGTGGTCCAGTACCGTCTGGCAACACTGGGTGAGTGTGGTGGTGGTCCAGTACTGTCTGGCAACACTGGGTGAGTGTGGTGGTGGTGGTGGTGGTCCAGTACCGTCTGGCAACACTGGGTGAGTGTGGTGGTGGTCCAGTACTGTCTGGCAACACTGGGTGAGTGTGGTGGTGGTGGTCCAGTACTGTCTGGCAACACTGGGTGAGTGTGGTGGTGGTGGTCCAGTACTGTCTGGCAACACTGGGTGAGTGTGGTGGTGGTGGTGGTCCAGTACCGTCTAGCAACACTGGGTGAGTGTGGTAGTGGTGGTGGTCCAGTACCGTCTGGCAACACTGGGTGAGTGTGGTGGTGGTGGTGGTGGTCCAGTACCGTCTAGCAACACTGGGTGAGTGTGGTGGTGGTGGTGGTGGTCCAGTACCGTCTGGCAACACTGGGTGAGTGTGGTGGTGGTGGTCCAGTACTGTCTGGCAACACTGGGTGAGTGTGGTGGTGGTGGTGGTCCAGTACCGTCTAGCAACACTGGGTGAGTGTGGTAGTGGTGGTGGTCCAGTACCGTCTGGCAACACTGGGTGAGTGTGGTGGTGGTGGTGGTGGTCCAGTACCGTCTGGCAACACTGGGTGAGTGTGGTGGTGGTGGTGGTGGTCCAGTACCGTCTGGCAACACTGGGTGAGTGTGGTGGTGGTGGTGGTGGTGGTCCAGTACTGTCTGGCAACACTTGGTGAGTGTGGTGGTGGTGGTGGTGGTGGTCCAGTACCGTCTGGCAACACTGGGTGAGTGTGGTGGTGGTGGTGGTCCAGTACTGTCTGGCAACACTGGGTGAGTGTGGTGGTGGTGGTGGTGGTCCAGTACTGTCTGGCAACACTGGGTGAGTGTGGTGGTGGTGGTGGTGGTCCAGTACTGTCTGGCAACACTGGGTGAGTGTGGTGGTGGTGGTGGTGGTCCAGTACCGTCTGGCAACACTGGGTGAGTGTGGTGGTGGTGGTGGTGGTGTGGTGGTGGTGGTCCAGTACCGTCTGGCAACACTGGGTGAGTGTGGTGGTGGTGGTCCAGTACTGTCTGGCAACACTGGGTGAGTGTGGTGGTGGTGGTGGTGGTCCAGTACCGTCTGGCAACACTGGGTGAGTGTGGTGGTGGTGGTCCAGTACTGTCTGGCAACACTGGGTGAGTGTGGTGGTGGTGGTGGTGGTCCAGTACCGTCTGGCAACACTGGGTGAGTGTGGTGGTGGTGGTCCAGTACTGTCTGGCAACACTGGGTGAGTGTGGTGGTGGTGGTGGTCCAGTACCGTCTGGCAACACTGGGTGAGTGTGGTGGTGGTGGTGGTGGTCCAGTACTGTCTGGCAACACTGGGTGAGTGTGGTGGTGGTGGTGGTGGTCCAGTACTGTCTGGCAACACTGGGTGAGTGTGGTGGTGGTGGTGGTGGTCCAGTACCGTCTGGCAACACTGGGTGAGTGTGGTGGTGGTGGTCCAGTACTGTCTGGCAACACTGGGTGAGTGTGGTGGTGGTGGTGGTCCAGTACCGTCTGGCAACACTGGGTGAGTGTGGTGGTGGTGGTGGTGGTGGTGGTGGTCCAGTACTGTCTGGCAACACTGGGTGAGTGTGGTGGTGGTGGTGGTGGTGGTGGTACCGTCTGGCAACACTTGGTGTGCTGGTGGTGGTGGTGGTCCAGTACCGTGGTGGGTGAGTGTGGTGGTGGTGGTCCAGTACTGTCTGGCAACACTGGGTGAGTGTGGTGGTGGTGGTGGTGGTGGTCCAGTACTGTCTGGCAACACTTGGTGAGTGTGGTGGTGGTGGTGGTGGTCCAGTACCGTCTG